TTAGAAGGAAAAATACCCTTGAAAGAGAGGAAGGGGATGGAAGGGGGGGGGGGAGGAAGGGGCGACGGATGACCTTGACAACCAGACACCGTTTGTGAAGGGGAACATTTTTTCTAACCAAACCCTATCCAAATCAACCTTTGAAACCTGATCGCTCTGTCAATTTTCGGAGTATCTCATCTGTCATTAAAATATTCCCTCTTCCACTCCTGGACGATAAGGGGCTGACATCGATGAATCTGAATCTGAATTTTTTCTGGTCTCGCGGATCTGGTTCCACCATTTTATCTCGCTTTTCTTTTTTCATCACGCGTTTTGCGCGTGCAATAACATGAATCCATCCGTTTCGGAAATGACTTCCAATTCTTCACGCTATCTGCACGACGCCGAGAAACACTTTGTTTTCCTTACTGGCCCGAGCGGAAAATGAAGCGATTGAAATTTCTCAATCATTAGAGACAATGGAAGGAAGGCGAGGTCTCGCGCAACCGCAGACGAGGAACATCGTCCGAATTCTTAATGGAAAGCGGGACACTTGTGGATGAGGCGAAGATGGGGTGGGGTAGGATTCTAGCGCGTTCGTGCCAAAATCGATCTCGATGCAAAGACCACATAAAAGTGAACTCAAAACTGATGTATCCAGTTCAAATTATTTTATTTTTAACATGTTTATGCTGCCGTGAAGCTCGTACTGGGTGGCATGTACACGTGCCAAATCCTGCGACTAAAGCACATGAACCCATGAGTTTCACGAGCTCCAATATGATCGCCGTCTGCTGGCCGGGAGCATCGAGCGACGGCATCAAATTTATTTTGAAGATATTCTCCCTTGCATGAAATGGAAGTGGCGTCGACAGTCGGGACGAAAAGACAAGCGTCTCCCGCATCTTTTGTAATCCGGAAAGTCCTCGCAACTGAACCCGATATGTGCGTGAAACGCTGACAACACGCCGAACGTGAGGATTTTGGCACAACCCTTTTTTTTGCCTGAAAACTTCCTTTGTTCGAATGAATTAGATTTTTTACAATCATGTTTGCCCGTTTCAGAAATTGGTCTGGTCGAACATCGACCAAAGTTATATATTCAAAAAGGAAATAGAAAACACTAAGGAGCTGGAACGTCTTTATAAGGGCTCCGAGTAGGTCAAGAACTGAAGGACCCAAAGCGTGGCTTAGTTGCTGAAGTGGCCGATGAAAATGCAAAAGCCGCGGAACGTGACGAATGATCGACCGAATGTCCGCCGTGTCAGCAATTTCGACCCCACGCCAAATCATGGCCAAGGAATCGCTCAAGCAATACGGCTTGCTTTCAAACCACGTGGCAGTTTGAACTTAATTCCAACCCAACCAAAGGGATTGGGGGAGGTCATGAACGTTTCCAACAAAGCGATTGCACAGACGTGTTTCCTTGTCCGGTTGACATTCACCATATCCAAGTATTATCCATTGCCTACAAAGACCGACTTTCGTTTCTCCAACAGCTGTATTGGCTCTTCCCTCTCTGCAGACACGTTGCCCTTTTACTTTGAGTTGCGAGTTTAATGAGACGAGTTGGGATGAAGGAGTTCCTCCAAGGGAAGGAGAAGAGTTCAGGCACTAATGAGATAAAAATTTATTGTGCTGATGGGTCCGGAAAAGTCAGTCAACAAACAATGGCAGTCGAGTGTCAATTAAAACGGAAAACACTTCTTAATGTATACCACACAACGGGTACGTGATGAGACAAGGCACTGAAGCGAGCGAAACGAGACACTCCAGACAATTGACAGATAAGACAGGCGCCTTCGACGACCGATAGACGAGACGAATAAGTGAAAACTTCAAAAATCAGGGGCTATGTGGGCGCGGAAATCTGTTTTCACCATCTGTGAAAATAGATGCACAAGGGGCATCAGTCTCGGAACCATTCACCAGAAGAGAACTCAGAAGAGAAGAGAAAAAAAACCTTACAAAGAAATGGATCAATGAAGGACGGTCTGATCGAAGGAGACGTGAACAGGAACCCCTTGACCCTGAGGTTGATTTCCGCCTTGAGCGACCGGAGCACCATAGCTAGCTTGGGGGGGTTGGTAGAGGGTCTGGGGAGTTCCGTACCCAGAACCCTGGTTTCCGCCGTTCGAAGCAGCACCATTGGCAAGGAAGGAGTAGTCGTAGTGGATGTTTATGGGGACGACTCTCTTGGGAGAGTTGGCTTGAGGCTGAGGGGGGACGTAGGACTGGACTGGAGCTTGGTAGGACGACGTTGGAGCAGAGTATGAAGGATTGGGGGCTGCGTAGCTCGAAGTAGGGGCCTGGTACGTTTGGACTGGTGCAGCGTATATTGGAGCAGGCGCTTCATAGCTGGATTGAGGGGCTGCATAGCTGGTGGAAGGAGTGGTTTGAGGGGCTACGTAGATCGGGGAAGGAGTGGTTTGAGGGGCTACGTAGATCGGGGAAGGAGTGCTTTGAGGGGCCACGTAGACCGGGGAAGGAGTGGTTTGAGGGGCCACGTAGACGGAGGGAGGAGCAGGTTGAGGGGCAGCGTAGACGGAGGGAGGAGCAGGTTGAGGGGCTTGATAGGTGTTGATTGGGGCAGCATACGCAGGAAATTCAGAGTTGGAGTGACCGTGGACACCGTCGGGAATGGGGATAGCTTGTGAGCAAGCCAGCAACGCTAGCACAACAACCTGCAGGAGAATAGAACTAGTTAGTATGCACCTCTTAGTACCGTGAGCAATTGAATTAGTGAGGGAATACCATTGGCGGCATACACGACATCAATAAAAAGGCAGTTATTCGCATGCAACAAGATTCCGATTTGCAGCAACTTTTTCTCTAAATATTCTATTATTTAGATATTGAGTGGAACTATAACGAATATATACGTTTGACTTGGAAAGTATTCGACAAGCGCACCAATGTTTTCAACCCTTCAAAAATGTATACATCATGACAAAAATAACAGCGGAATACTCACCTTGGAAATCATGGTGGCTGCTGGATCACAAGCGGAACACCACGTAGCACAACAGTTGGATGGAAAGTTGGTCACCGAAAACCGCCTTTTTTATACGAGTGCGGGCAGCGATCGACAAGAGAAGGGTGTAGGGGGAGGGTGGAGGGAGGAGGGGGGAGGGAGGAAGGTGGTGGTGGGTGGTGGGAGGCGTGTCTCCGCTGTCTCCTTTCTAATCCCTTGGCAAGTCTCACACACTTTGTCTCCCCCATTCCTATTATCAGATTTTTTTTTCTTCAAAACGTTTCCCTTCGTTGGGCGTAAAGAGTGAGGGGGAGACGCCGTAGAAAGCTGTAGAAGATTTCGGTCAATTGAAGCAGGTTGCCCGATTCCATCGAATGTGCTTGTGCAGAGTCTCGCTTAAAAAAAAAAAAATTATTTAATAAATTAATGTGAAATGGGCGCATTCATTTCATGAATTATGGCGTGACCGTGAAAAACTCGAAGCTTTCTCCTTCCCTCAGCTTTTGAGACTTTCCGGGTTGCATTTGTAATAGTCTCATCCCTGAAACAAAAAAAAAATCTCATTATTATTTTATAAGCGTCTGGAATCATCGTGATTAATATATTGTTTCCAGAGCTGCCACGCATTGGCATCGGCGCTCAGCAGTTCCCGGACAAAACGATCTCGGACATTTTGGTCCTAAATGGGGAATAGGGCTCAAATAGGCATCAAAATGGTCAAAATGTTTGACGCCGGCTCATCAGGAGTCGACGATAATTATTAATTGCGACGCGTACTCATGACAATCTAAAATTGAGTCCTTTTTTTTTTACCTTAAAGCATTTGATTCGGGAAAATATTTAATTCGGGTTCGGGGGTAATAAAAAAGGTCACCCGGAAATAATTCCCCCCAGAATCGGCAAAGGCAGACAAGTGCCAACTCAGGTTCACGTCATATTAAAGAGTAAAGATTAAAGAGTAAAGATTAAAGATTAAAGATTAATTTGTTTTGGTATTTCGTGGTATTGACGTCATGTCATTTGTTCAACTTCACTGAAACGTTATGAAAAATAAATTGTATTAAAAATAGAATGAGTCCATTTAGCCTAAGCACATTTCTATAATAATAATAAAAAAATGAATAGTATGGCCAATCCTCCTTAGGAAATCTTTCGATGCCATATTGCAGGATGCGACGAGGGAACTCTCTCGACAATTCAGGCAATTTCTGCTCAAATGAACAACTGCTCTAAAGGCATGAAAGGTTTTTTCTTTCATCTCCCTCCTAATTACTTTCACTCCTTTTTCCAGGGGGTTGAAGAGGATCAGGATTAGCTCCCTCCCCCATCGGCGGAGAGGGGGGGGGGAGGGTTCCACCTCCCCCACCCCCACCCCCACCCGCCCCCCCGGAGTCAGTTCATTCAGACAGGTTCAATGCCGGAGTACTTTCTCCCTTCTTTATGAAAGTGGAAAATATTTATGAGGATTTTAAGAAACCCCTTTTTTTTTTCCTCTGCGTTCCTTGGCTTATTATCCAACCCCCCCCCCCC